CCCACCCTTGTTTAGGTAAACGTTCGGGAGCGTTACTATTGCCGACTGGATGCCCCACAGTGCCATTCTTAAGGGTTTCACTTCCATCGCACTGCTATCTTTGATGCCAAGTTGGACTTCTAGCTCCCTGGCTAGTTCCTCCTTGGTCATGAGGGGATCTACTTCTTTTACCCCTGCTGAGGTCTTATCCCGCATTGGATGCGCTCTCAGTTTTCCTCCTAACGCTATGTTAAGATCCGCCGCAGTCTTGCTGACATCGCGTCCTGTCTTCATTTCGATAAGAATGTCATCTAGTTTTGTTTTCCTGATAGCATTACTTTCTCTTAGGGCATTCTTCGCCCCCACCATCTCTTTGTAGGCCTGGATCCATTCCTTATCCTGTCCTACCTTGACAGGGATGGCTTCCGGCTTATTACGCACCCTCTTCAGCCTCTCCATCTTCTTAGGCTTGGCCTTAGGCGCCTTGTCCTCTTTGGCACCTCTATCCATTTCTGTATCGTCTCTTCTTCTTTCTTCTTCTCTCGGACGACGGTCCAATCTTCTCTACCGTCACTATCCGTGTGGTCACTCTTTTGCTTTCACCGAACCCTGGACGGCACAAACTTCGGCGTAGGAAACTTCCCTATTCGCCGCTCTCCTCCTTTTGTTATCGTCCTTCGAATCGATGGATGATATCTCCTTCCTCTTGTCTTTCTTCTCTTCTTTTCGATCGGCAGCAGTCGTCGTTCTGATGGTTCTGATCGTCCTAGCCCGCTTTTTACTTCTAAATTCATTCAGCATAACATTTAGTTTGTCTGCCTTGTCCTTGATGGCTTCACTCCTTTTTTTAATATTGGCGTCTACCATGAGGTACAGCCTATCAGCCAGACCATGTATTTCCAGGAAGACTTCACTGATGATCTACGTCATCGCCCTCCATTCGCTGAGTTTTATGACGATATTGTCTTCCTCTTCTTCATTGTTCTCGGGTCCTGCTCTGTTTACAATGGCCTTTACCCTTATCTGTTCCCTTACTCCTGTTACTTCGCTTTCCGAGACTTCTGCCTGTGTGTCCATCTCCGAGGTGCTGGCAGCTCCTTCCTTCACGCCCTTCGGTGGGCTTCTGGTCAGACTTCTCATTGGCCTGAACGCCATTTCCTCCTCTGGCGTTCTTTTTCAAGTATTTGACGATTCCAGCGTTTTCCTTAAGTACTTGACGATCCTATCGCCTTTCAAGGTTTCCTCCTTGACGATTCGGATCGCCTTTCCGCGGGTGGGTGTTATTCCTTTTGCTGCTTGCGAAGGGGCCCCAATTTCTTCGATGATTTCCGTTATATCCTCATCGAATTCTAGGAATCTCATTTTGGGGATCCTTTTCCCTTCTCCTCTTTAACGAAGCGTATTGCTCCTTGATCCCCGGTCGTGGTTACTGAACGAAAGGAGGCCCTGGGATCGACCTTCCCCTC